TTTTTTTTTTTTTTTTTTTTTGGTACTGGGGATCAAACTCAGGACCTTGCACTTGTGAGGCAGGCACGGTTCCACTGAGCACAGGTTCCACCCTGGCCTCCTGAGGTTCTTAAAACCTTGACTTGCACCCCACCTAGAGCTGAGACACCCAGCCTGGCTGAAAGTCACATCTAGAAACAGAATGTTGTACATCAGTGCCGGTCCTCAAAGGTAGGTTAGTCCTATCTGGTGGGGTTACTGGTGTAGATACTCCTGAAGCAGACGGGCTCAGAAGATGGAGGCTGAGGCCATGTTGGGGCAGCAGGTGGCCTTTCTGCGGGGTGGCGGGGGGGAGTTGAGCCATCTCTCCTCAGTCTCCTGACTGAGGAGTCCCTGGGGAAAGGATGAGGTGGAAATGATAGACCATCTGGAGGCAAGTGCTGCTTGGAGCTCAGTGTCCTCCCTGTGGAACTGGAACCCTGCTCTGTGATCCTGCTGCTGCCTGGAACCGGTGTCCCTCTCCAAAATGACATCTAGCACAGAAAGTCTCTGGCCCAAGACGTAGACAGGGGCCTTTGTCAGAGGTACAGCAAGTACATGTCAGGCTTTGGTGCTGATCATTAGGAACAAAGGACAGCAAGCAGGAGAGCCAGGGTGCAGAAGGACAAGGCTGTGTGGGTCAGCTACAGTGTTCTGTGACTGTAGAGTGCAGCTGGACAGGCGAGGTGATGCCACGTGTTCAGAGGGACACGAGTGGTACACACTGCTGCTGGCCCTGTGGAGCCTGGAGGACACCTGCTCCGGTGAGGTCAGAGTCAGGGAAGAACAGGCCGGAGACGCCCTGAGCAGGCCTCATGGGCTGGGGAGCACCCGGTGGCAGGCACGCAAAGGGTGGGTGTTGGGAGACCCCATCCAGGTGGCACACCAGGGCCGAGGTCTCACGTCAGATGATGCTACATTGTTTGAGCTGGAGAAAGTCTGGGAGGCCAAGAACCCCACTTTGCTCTTAAGGAAGAGGACTGATGAACCTTAGGATCTCGTGCTGACAGAGGTGGCTGTGAATTCCAGGCTGGCCAGTGTAGCCGGGTGACTTTGGATGAACCGTTTAGCTCTCCCTGTTGGGAAATGGGTAGAACAGAGCTTCTCTTGAGCAAGGCAGGGCTTCCCAGGGGCAGCAGGGTTCATCTTTGGGCTGCTGACCTTTTGTCCCAAGGCCACCCTGTGCACTGTATGCACCCTGAGGTGCTTTTCCAGCTTCCACCCACTTGGTGCCAGCTGCATCCCCAGGCCCTTCTGGTGTGACAGCCACTCCTGGCAGGGCTGGGGCACCATCACCCCCAGGTGAAAACTGCTACCTTGTGGCGTGGGTGGTATAAGTGGAGTGCCTGCTCAGGGGCTGGGCACTGAGGGCACTGAGTGGATGAGCTTGCCATTGCAGAGGGGAGCCGGGAATCTCGTCATAGTCAGGTGACATGAGTGGGGCTGCAGGACAGTGTGGGGCTGGCTGGAGAGAGCAAGCTCTGCAGGGCTTGCACACTGATAGAGGAGGAGGACGTCTTGTGCCCAACAGGTCGCGAGGGAAGAGCTTCGCCCTGTAGGAGAGGAGAGCACAAAGAGCCGGGGCCGGGCCTCCCTGAGCCAGGGCTGCACAGGGGCCTCAAAGGCGCTGCTCAGAGGAGCTGGAGGCACGAGAGGCAGGGGAGGCTGCGTGCACACGGGCCAGAAGGCCGACACTCGAGGCAAGGCACAGGCCTGGAGGAGGATGCTCAAGTTGGAGGCCAAAGAGGGCACAAAGGACAAGGAGCAAGTCCTGTGTCCCAAGTCCCGGGCCCTGGAGGAGCACATCCAGGGAAGTGCTCTCGAAGAACCTCACAGAAACTGGAGCCGACAGCAGTGCGTTTTCCTCGCTGGCCGCTCTTTAGAGGAAAGGCCAGCACCCCAGTGTCCACAGGCTCTGAGGACAGGGGCTGCTGGCATTCTCCCGAGGCCGTGGTGTGGGCTGATGCCCGCGGCCACAGTCTTGGCCTGCCACCCAGCCCCAGGGGCCGCCGAGGGAGGCCGGAGCCAGCCTAGGAGATGGCCGGTGAGCTGGCTCATCTTCCCTGCCAGGAGAGCGGGTCTCCAGGAGCACAAGATGCAGTCGCACGCACGGCTAGGTGGCACGTTTTCACACCTAAAACATTTCCCTAAGACAAAACACATCACCCGCCGGACACCCCCTCCCTCCTTCCCACTTCAAAAGAGGACCCCACAAACAAAAAAGAAAGGGACAGAGACCAAATAGCAGCCTTACCTCCACCCTGACCGGCCCGCGGCCTGGAGCAGAGACCTCACCCCACACCCACACTGCAGGAGCGAGCTGGCGCGGCCGCGCAGGGGAGCGTGTGTCTGTGTGTGATGTGCCTTCATGCGTCACTCTATTTATGTTGTTCGCAGCCCAACGGTAGCGGCCAGGGCAAAGTCCCGGGGTCATTTTTGCTACCACCGCCGCCTCCAGTGGCCAGACCTGTGCCCCTTCCTATGCCTGATTCCAAATCCACCAGCACTGCCCCAGACGGCGCCGCCTTGACTCCTCCATCACCTTGTAAGTGGACGATGAAACCAAAACCACAACGCCCAGCATCCCTGGCCCATCAAAACCGTCTCCACTGCAAAAGAGAAGCAATTCCCTCCCCATCAGAGCACCACGGAGCCTCCCGCCCGGATAGGAGCAGAGCTAAGCCCCCCAGCCACAGCCTCCAGGGCCTCAGTTGCACCAGCCAGCACCCCACAAGCCCCCTCCCCGCTGCTCCCAGCTGGGGCCCCTGGCCCAGGCCCCCCTGGGGGGCGGGCGAGAGAGCAGAGTGGGGTGCCAGGCCGGGGGTGCTGGCGCAGGTGGGAGGGCGGGGAGGCTCAGCCATGCCATCTTCATGCCTGATTGCTGTTTTTTTTTCGGTTTTTTTTTTTTTTTTTTGGTTTTGGTTTTCAATTTTTTTTTGTTGTTTTGTTGTTCCCCACACACACCCAGAAAATTAAATGTAACCACAAGGCGACGCCACCACCATCCCCTTTTTTTGCCTTGCCCCTCACCTCCATTCTGGCCCTTGGGCCTCTAAAGATGCAGGAGGCTGGCCCTGACCCCTCCTTAGTCTCGCATTTGGTTTCTCGTTGTTCCTCTTTCCTTTTCCTGCTTCTACCCTTTCCCTCCCTTTCCCAGGCGGCTGCTCCAGGGACGAGGGAGGGCTCTGGGCCCGGCTCACTTCACCTCTCTCTCTCTTCTTCCTCTTCCTCCTCTTCTTTTCTTTTCTTTAAAACTGATGACACGTTTTGTCAAAGGGAAGAGAAGGAAAATCTGGTGGAGAAGCCCCAGCTAGACCCGGCGTGAAGGACAGGAGGGCGAAGGCCGGGTGGCACTGTCTACGGGCAGGTCGGGTGGGGGGCGGTGGAGCCGGGCAGGTGGCCGTGGGCCAGGGTGCTGCGCGGGCGGGTGGCCATCTCCACACTGCTCTGTGTTCTCGCTCCCTGTCTCTCCTCTTTCCTCACGGTTTGAGTTCTTTCCCTCTCCGTCCTCCTCACGCCATCTCCTCATCTGCATCTGCCATCAGACGCCAATCATGATCATGGTCATTGGAGGTGGGCACTGTGTGGGTGCGGAGCTGGGCTGCGGGGTGGGGGCGCTTCTGGAGAAAAGTGGACAGCGTTTGGTGAGCATGGGGTCCCAGGTGTATCTGGTGTAGCCAGAGTGGGCAGCCTGTGATGCTGATCCCCCTCTGGGGTCCTCTTCCTTCCCGGAACACAGGGCTGTTTGGTTCACTTGCCTCCTTGGGCCACAGGACAGCTGTCCCCAGGCAGCTAAGCTAGGCTGCTGTGCCAGGCCGTTGGCCTCCTCCTTTGTCGCCTTGGCCCATCTCAGATGCTGGCCTGGCCCGTCAGTCAGAGGAGGAGTGTGGCACGAGCCTGAGCCTCGCTGCCCCGGGCTCAAGCCTAGCAGCCAGCTCCTAAGTTCCTCTCCGACTGTGCCCTTTCTGGCCCAGCCCTGTGGGCCCCACTCCAAGTCCTTGGGGCCACCTGCCGGACCCCTGGGGCTCCCAGGGTGGTAAGTGGTTCAGCGCCCCCTTTCCCAGGCCACGGAGCTGGACAGGTGGCCTAACTGAGCCCCTCCCCTGCCCCCTCTTCAAGTAGGAAAGCCAAGGTTCCCACAGAGGACACGTGGACCCCAGTGCTGTCCAGCACATCCACGGGGCACAGAACTGGGTCTGAGGGACCTCAGCTATAGTATCCAGGGCCCCTTCCTTGCCTGGGCCAGTTAAGAAGATGTCTGAGCAGGGCTGGGCATTCTGGGAGGGGGTGGCAAATGCTCCTGGTCCATGAGCACCACAGCAACACCCCCCACCGTCCTTCCCACAGCCAGCTGTACCTTGGCAGCCACCAGTGTTGTCTGACCCCGAACTCTCCCTTCTCAGCAGCCCTGAAGGGCAGTGCCCAGATGGGCCGGAAGGCCTGATGAGGGTCTCTCCTCTTTCCCCTGCCCCCACAGCATTCTCAACGACAGGCGCCTCCTCTGCCAACCGGTTTGTCAGCATCGGACCCCGGGACGGCAACTTTCTGAACATCCCACAGCAGTCTCAGGTAGGGGAGCACCTGGATGCAGGGTCGGGAGAAGGCAGGGCAGGGGATCCTGAGGTCAAGGAGGAGCCTAGTCCTGGAGCTAAGCAGAGAGAGGCCAGAGAGCTGTAGAGCCCAGGCGTTGGCATGCCCAGCTGAGCCACCTCCCCAGGCAGCCCCCCAGGCTCCCTGCTATTCAGCTAATTGGATAATTAGCTCTGACAGCCCTGGCCCTGGGGAAGGTGGCCAAGGACCCAGGGCTGGAGGCATTCTGGGCAGGCCCAGTAGAAGCAAAGATGGAAGCCTGAGGTGCCCCTTCAGGGGAGGAAAACCTAGGCTGCCTCCTCGATCTCCTCCCGCCCTCCCAGCCCTCCCTCCCCGGCTTTGGGTAGGCTGGGCAAAGCATGGAGGAGAGACAGAGGCAGCCTGGTGGGCCCCTTCCGAGGATACTCTGGCACCCAGAGCAGGGCAGGGCTGCTGGCTGCCCTGGTCCCTCTCACGTCCTGAGCGGCCTGTTAGGGGCGGGCCAGGCTGTAGGACTCTCTGGTCCCCGCTCCCCTCTCCTGCTGCCATCACCCCCTCCCAAGGAGACAGCCACCCTCCACTGGCTCACTAGGCCCTGGTGTTGGCCCTGCACACACTTGTGCAATGTGCATGTCTGTCCTGAGTCTAGGGTTGCCCTTGGGGGTGCTGAGAGGACCCACCTCAGCAGCAGGGCAGAGCAGGGCTCACAGCATGGGGGTTTCAGAAAAGAGCACAACGCAGATCTCTTTCTCTTGTGCATTTTACAAAAATGCCCCCCTTTTGGCTTCTTTTGGCTTACTTGGCCCTGGGAAATCTACCTCTTCCCAAAGGCCCCAGGGCCACCTCTGCCACTCCTGCTCCGCCTCTGCCTGGAGGCCCCAGTCCAGAGAAAGTTGCTGGGTGGAAGTTTTGTGTGTGGTTTGAGGGTGTTTTTTTGTGTTTTTTTTTCCCTTCCTTTCTTTTCCTTTCCTTCCCTCAAAAAAAAAAAAAAAAAAAAAAAAAAAAAAAAAAAAAGCCAAACCTTTGTCAAACTTCGAACTTCAGAGCTCCCTAGTGGTAAGGAGGGGCGGGGAAGAGAACTTCAACCCCCTCCAGCTTCCCACCCCCTTTCCCCAGAGTCACGTCTGACCCGTCTGGTTTCCAGGAGCAACCAGACATGATGTAACACCCAGATGAACTTGAACTTGGGGGTGTTGAGAAGGAAAACAATGGCTCCGAGCAGGGGCTGGAGCCAACCCCCTCTGCTCTGTGCCAGGGAAGCTGAGAGAGCCCTGCTGGCAGAGGGTGGGAGGGAATGCCAGGAGAAGGGGCAGCAGGCGGGCTGCCCCTCCCGCTCGGGGCTGGCACCAGGGGCCAGGCTCCACTGCCCCCGGGACCCTCCCTCCTTCCCTCCCGGTCTCTCGGTCTCCCTCCCTCCTGCTGGCCTCCAGTGGCTCTGCAGCAGGCTCGCTCAGCCACAGCCGCCAGCCCTCCCTGCTCATCCCCTTGCCTCCTTCACTTTCTCTGCTCACGTTGCTTGGACGTTTTGGGGCCAAGTAAGAGTTGGAGGCAAGTTTGGGAAACAGTTTCTCTCCCCCATATTCTTCATCTCAGGGTCTGGGCGGTGGGAGAAGGAGTCCCGCCAGGGTCCAGTGCCCTTGAGCAGGCAGGTGTGTCTGGGGAGTGCCAGGAGCCTGAGCCGGACCTGTCACGGAGCAGGAGTCCTAGGGCCTGGGGCTGGGGCAGGCACAGGGGGTACAATCAGAGGTGGTTTCCACAGTAACCAGTGACTTTAGCTGATCCCTGGAGCACCAGATGGAGAGAGAACAATAGAATGAGGGAAGAAAAGAGAATTTTAGCAGTTTTGTCATTCCCTGGGCAGCGCTTTTTACTTAGTTTTAATCAATTTTGGACCTGGCTCGGGAAGCAGGGAGGGGTCAGCAGAAAAAGCAGCTCCGTGCTTGGCAGTAGATCCTGTGTTCCCAGGACTTGTGGGGAGACACTGGGGAGCCCCCACGGAAGCTGCCTTTATCACCATTTCCAGGCTTGGGAGTGGGAGGCCAGGCCTGGCCTCTTCTGAGGAAATGCCCTTCAGTCTGAGACTTAGTGGTTGTCCCTTCTATCATGATGGTCAGAAGACCCCAAAGTGCCCAGCATAGGGCCTTGGCAGTGTGTGCTTGACAAGCAGGGCAGGTGGAGCCTCTCTGTCCCTGTAGGGAGGAGGAGGGGGCAGGTACCCAGCCATAGACAGCCTCCTGCCACCCTGAGGGCAGTGGTGCAGAAATTCCTGAAGGGTCACCCCTGGTAAGGTGGTCCTAGAGAAAACAAGGAGCTGGCCACCCACTCCCTTTCTCTGCCCACTCTGGGGCTGCCACAAGCCCTCGGGAGCCTCTGCTAGGCACTCAATCCATGAGAGACCAGGCTGCAGGCAGGTGAGGGGCAGATCTGTGCCTGTGGTCCGGCACAGAGCAGGCAGCTTGGCAGCTCTGTCACCAATGCACCCATCACCTCAGCTGCGCCTGCCCCCATGTTTCCAGTTGTTCTTCGCTGTGCCGGCTACTGTGATGGCCACTGGCCACGTGTGGCTGTGTCCTTTTAAACTAATTAAAGAAGAACTCAGTTCTGCCTCAGGAGTCATGCTGCAGGTACTCAGAAACCACTTCACTGGGTAGTGCAGACAGGATTTCTGTTGTCAAGAAAGTGGTATTTTGTTGTTATTGTTTTGTTTTGTTGTTGTTGTTTTTGTTTTTTTGAGACAAGATCTTGCTAGGTTGGTTGTCAGGCTGGTCCTGAATTCCATAGCTCACTTAAGTCTTCTGAGTGCTGAGACTGCAGGCCTTGCCACCTTGCCGGACTTCTCCCTCTCTAATCCTAGCACTCAGCATCCCCATGTCACAGTGCATGACACCCCAGGTCCCAAACCAGAGCCTGAGGAGCAGGACCAGCCTGCAGGGATAAGGTTTTTGTTTGGTTTGGTTTGGTATCTGGGATCAAACTTGGGACCTTGTACTTGCAAGGCAGGCAGAAGAACCACTGAGCTAAATCCCTGGCCCTGGGATATGGTAGGGGTTTTTTTTGGGGGGGTACTGGCAATCGAACTCGGGACCTTGCACTTGGCAATGCAGGCGTCGGAACTACTGAGCTAAATCCCCAGCCCAGGGATAAGGTGTTTTAAAGATCGCATGTTTCACAGGAAATTTGCCCTGGATTTCTGGCTTCTGAGAAGCTAGCAGCTGCAGCACTCCGGCCCCTCACCCCAGGCAGGCCTTCTGACAGCCAGACCCTGCCTCCTCAGCCTGTTACCTTGTGCTCTGTGGCCTCAGACAGTCAGGGTGTCTACCTATTTTGTGCTTGGCTTTGGTGTGGAGTTGGGCAGGGACAGGTGAGTTAGTGCCTGGCATGTGTGCTGCGCTGGACTCCGCCTGACCCCTAGACAGGAGTCTGGACACAGAGCCTTGCAAGGGCTCCAAGGTGACCCTCAGAGGCTCCATTCTGCCCTGAAAGTATACCCCGGGCACACACCTGTGACTGGAGAAGAGCCCCCCCCGCCGGCTCACCGTTTAGGGATGTGGCAGAGACTTGCCAGCCTTTGATGGAGGGCGTTGCCAAGCAGTGCATCCCTTGGGTCCACCCTGGGCGTGCTCGGTGTGGAGCCGCCAAACAAGGCCTGTGTGTGGGGAGGCGGCGCCCCCTGCTGGTAGAATATGGGGACGACAGCCACCCCAGGGTGCCCTGAGGGTAGAGGATCGCACGTGGTGGGCCACCGCCCCTCCCCCAGGCCTGGCGCTGCCCGGGACTGAAGCCATGTGGTTCCCCTGCCCCCAGCCTTTCAGCCTGTGGGACCTTGGCTGGGGTGCCCAGACGGGAATTTCTGCTTTTAATCCAAAGAGACAGAAAGAAAACTCAGCGAGAAGCTGGGCCACCCCCACCCCACTCCCCAAACCCCTCTAGGTACAAAAGCCCCAGCCTGGCATCCTCCCCACCCTCCAGGACCCATACAAAACCCTACACAATTGCAAACATGGCCAGATCCCAGGTTTGTGCCAGTGCCAGCCATGGGGGTCCCACCCGCCGGGCACGGTGCCCAAGGGAAGGCCAGCTGGACTCCAGCACAGGGGGCAGGGTCTGGGGGATTCCCATGGAGGTAGGGAGAACAGGGCTGTACTTCCTTTTCCATGGCAGACGGCTGTACAGCATACTCAGTGTGCAGGAGCTGGGCCTATGAGGGTGGCTTCCAGGGTTAAGTAGGAATGAGATGGGATTGCTCCAGCATTCTCATTATGATCAATTTGGTTTTCTTTCTGTCTTTCCTTTCTTTTTTTTTTTTTCTTTTTTTTTTCTTTTTTCTTTTCTTTTTTTGTCTGTTTCAGTCCTGGTTCCTCTGATAAGATCAACAAAGAAACAACAAAATGAAAAAAAAAAAAAAAAGAGGTTCCTCAAGGGGGTAGAAGAAATTTTGAGACATGGAAAAATCCCCCAGCCCAGCCCAGCCCAGCCCCATCGAAAAGCAAAAATTAGATGTCGTCAGCCACTCAGCCCTTCTCTCCTCCAGCCCGGGGATCCCCTTGGGCCCCCAAAGCAGCCCAGTTCTCAGCGAGCCCTTGGACGGGGTCTCGGTGGAGCTGTGCACCGGCAGCCAAGCAGAAAGAAACATGCAAAATGGGCTCTGCCAAGCAGAGGACAGATGGAAAGAAAGGATGCCACAGGACTGCCTCCCTCCCCTAACCCATGGCCGTCGGGGAAGGAGCAGGACCCCCCCCAACAACCAGCACCCTTTGTAAGGGACCCCGCTCACTCAGGCTGGAGCATCCTAGGGAGCCCTGAGGACCAGCTTGGGAGATGATGGGGTACATATCCCTAGAACCCCTCTATCTAGACTCCGCCCCTCCGGCCCTTCCTCCTGGCCTCAGCTCTGGCTTCTGCCCGCAGCTGCTCTGGACCAGGCAGGGAGAAGCCCAGAATGTGGGGGGTTCCCTTCCCCCATCAGCCGAAGGGCAGTTCCGGGCCAGGCCCTCTGTACAGTCCACAGGAAAATGTCGGAAAACTGACAGCCCCCCAGCCTGGGCCAGGCCCCTTTCCCCTCTCCCCACACAGGCCAGGAGCCAAGGGAGGTGGGCTCTGGCTGCCCCACACCCCAGCCCTGCATGCAGGTGCCCCACAAGCGGGGCCGGGCCCAGAGTGGAGCAGAGAGGGGACCCCGGAGCCCAGCGAGGAGGACAAGGCAGCCGCTATTGCCGCCCGCTAAGCCGCCACCTGCGCTTAGGTAGGCGTCCTGCTCGTGGCCCGCCTGCCCGCAGACTTCCAGTTCCTGGGGAGGGTGTTGGGTGTCGTCCTTTTCAAAAGTGTTTTGGAGCTTTCTGTCCTCCTTCCCACTGCCCCACCCCCATGGCCACTTCTCTCTGGATCTTAGCTGTAATGTCTTTCTTCTTGATTTAGGGGTGGGCCGGTCGTCCTTTGGGTCTTTTGCAGTTGCAGTTGGGAACTCCTCCGTTTGGGAACAGTTTGGTCACACCCCATAGGAAGTAGCTCTCCCAGTCCCTCCTCCCCCGAGGATGGGGGGCCTTTCCAGAGGTCCTGCAGAAGCCCCGGGAGGGAGGGAGCGGGGGCGCCTTGCCCCGCAGGGTGTGACCCAGCCCCTCTGGCTTGTCTTTCTGTGCCTTACTCCTCCTTCCAGCGTCCCCCTCGTACTCTTCTCAGTCCTTGTGCCTCTCTCTCTCCCGTACTTCACGGTATGAAAACACAAAGCACAGGTCAGGATCCTCTGGAAAGTCAGTCCAACATTGCACCACGTAGGGGTGGGTTATGGGCTTTATTTATTGAGACTAGTTTGCGAGGCTGTGGCCCTAGCAGGAAGAGGAGGGAAGGAGCCGTTTGGGTAGGGAGAGGGCCTCGAGGGGCGGGCTGGGTGGCCGGGGTGCGAAGTGGAGGAAGCACCGCCCTCCTGGCGGCGGCAGTGGATCCCTGGGCGGGAGGCGG